GTGTTTCCAGGTGTTACTCGTGCTATTTCTCCATGTTGAGAGTTTGGTGTCGCACATATTGCTAAGCATTCTTATCCTTTTCTCCGATAAACTGAAAATAACAGGAGTGTGTCCATCTCACAAATGTAGAATCCGTCTCTCCAGTCATCTCAACCATTTAATTCCAGCAACAGAAGATAGACAGACTATTTTACCTGCAGATTTTTTTCTCTGGTGCTGTTTTGCGGTGTTAGTAATCTGATCAAATGCACATTATTATTCTTTAGTTTGGGTTAAACAAATCAATTTTGCTTGTTTGGAACCGCAGCTACGCTAATTATGTTTGTAATTGTTTCTCTGTTTTTTTGCCTAGGATTTACACAAGCTTCAGTCTGGATCCAGAACACCTGAGAAGAGATGATGCAACCCCTCATAGAACCTCAGATGATGCTAACCCGGAAACAACTTACAGAACTATCACATTTTGCTATAAGTTTGATTGCATCATATAATAATTGCTGTTAATAGTGTTCATCGTCTGTTTGATTACGTCTCTAATTGATTTTGCCGTACATTTCTGCCATATGTACATTGACTGACAGTCATCACTGATAAGCTACCACTAAATATTTGTAGAAACTTAATTTGCTGTAAAGTTGCTTTGCAATGATTTGTATCATGAAAAGCGCTGTACAAATAAACTTGAATTTTTCAGTTAAAGGCACTTCATCAATGAATTCAGTGATGTCATCATTCAGCTCAGTTCAGTTTAAACATACATGCTTAAAACTAAATACATAAAAGTGAACAAAAATATGCATATTTGCATAAGTATACATATAAAATACACATATTTGCATACAGTAATTTCACAGTTTGGCACATATGTGTGTGACAATATATTTACTTATATATCACAATATTTGTCATTTTATATTCAGTAATACACTTTATAATATATAGATGTACATGTGATAAGATATGGTACTGCATGTGTGAAAATATATTGAACATAAGGTGTTTTTTCCCCCGTCTCCACAACATTTTATGTACTATATTGTATTTGGAATATGTTCTGATCTTCAGTGCAAATTACAGCCTAATTGCAATGATGTACTGAAGGATTTTACAATGTGGTGAGAAATAAATATTTTCATGAATGTGCAGTACTCGTCTCATGTGTTGTGTTTGGTCAATATATTCATGAACTTTAACAATATCTCCCTCACACACACACACACACACACACACACAAAAAAAGCTATCAAAAATAGAAATGTTACACGTGTTTAAGATTGAGTGTAAGTGGTTCAAACATAATTAGATTTTATGAACCATGTGTGTGCCATACGGTACCAAAACTGGGTTTTGTTAAATTATTGTAAAGTTTTGAATGAAGTGTTTCATTTTGCAGAAGATCTGAGATGTTCTGATGCTTGTGTGTGTGTATGGATGTGTGAATAGTGTGTAGTGTTTTGACAAAATGAGCCTTGTTTTTAAAATGTGCTTAAGAAATCGTAAAAAAAACTGCAATGGAAACATTACAAATACAGACTTACTCAATAAGTTTGACAAATTTCAATTAATGTTAAGACAGTAAGAACTTGTGGAAAGTATATGTGAATGTATACATGCTGTTTTGAGTTTCGTAAGGGATCAAATTGTCATTAATGCTGTTAAGTTATTTTGGTGAAAAAAGAGAAAGGATTTTGGGATGGTTGTTGTTGTAGCACAAACTGAATTCTAAGTGGATTGCTGAATTCATTTTTTCCCCTCAATATTAGTGACACAGCAGAGTTCACTGTGTCACTTCAGATGACTCCATAAGAAATGGTAGGCTTACATGATTGTGGTCTTTTTCCTCATATACCACGTGTTTCACATTCAGTTCTATAAAACAAAGTTGTGTTTGATCAAAACAGTTCAGAATTAAATTTCATGTGTTTTAGCCACTTTGACAACTACAGTAAGGATACTAATTCTGTCATTAATTACTCACCCTTGTGTCGTTCCAAACCCGTAAGACCTTCGTTCATCTTCGGAACACAAATGAAGATATTTTTTATGAAATCTGAGAGCTTTCTGACCCGCCATAGACAGCAAGGGAACTACCACAGTCAAGGCACTGAAAGGTAGTAAGTCAAGTCAAGTCACCTTTATTTATATAGCGCTTTTAACAATACAGATTGTGTCAAAGCAATTGAACAGCATTAATTAGGAAAATAGTGTGTCAATAATGCAAAATGACAATAGTAAACACTAATTTTTCAGTTAAAGGCAGTTCAT